ACGCACGCACGCATACGTCATCCCCCCCCCCCACACACACACACACCTATGCGGCAGGTAGGCCGCAATCGCCGCAAAGTCCTTGGGGTGCTGCAGGAAACGGTCCATAAAGATGCGCTTCTCAGCCTCTGACCAGTCCAGGCCGCGCCTGTCCTCCGCCAACTCACGCCCTGGGTCCTCCTGGGGGCCAGGAGGCGGGGGTTGGGGGTCATTTGCGGTGGCGGGGTCGGGAGGGATCGGCGTGCTCGTGCCAAGTGGGGCACGTCCGCGCTGGTGGTCTTGCAGGGCGCAGGTTGGCTGGTTTGTGTCCACTTCAGTAAGATTCCGGGAGGATGGGGCGGGCCAGCTTTGGGGGATTGAGCGGGTGGGTGTGCTTGCATGGAGCGAAACGCGTCGGCGTCTGGGACTAAGTTTTAAACAGACAATGGGTTTGTTAGCCATGACTTTGGACAAGAAAGGGTGGAAGGGAAGGGCACGCCGCAGTCATTCAAAGCAGACTGCTTTCGGGGTTCAGGTGAAGTGGTTTTGGGGGCCGCGTTGCGAGGCAACGGCGGGCCGTCTCGAGGGGGCGGGGGGGCTGCGCGACCCAGGCGAGGCGTGCAGAGGGCGCCGCCCACAGCGACGCGGGCCGCACCACGAGGGAGTTGTAGGTGCGAAAGGTGCGCCACCTCAGCTCCTGCTGGTCGATGACCTGGCGGCGGTTGAGCGTCGGTTGAGCGGCGGTTGGCGACCGGGCGAGCGCATCGCGAGGGGCTGATCGCGACGAGACGGCTGGCGCAGGGGCGGGCGCCTTGGATCGAGCGCGCGCCACGCCGCCGCTGCCCCCCGTGCGAGGGCTGCTGGTTTGCGCGTCCCGGTCCCAACCCATGCCCTCGGTATATGGCGCGCGCCCATATCGCGCCGCCCCAAACCACAACCCGCCCGGCGCGTGGCGAGCAGAAAGCCACGCTCTTGGCTCCGCACGCGGCTGGTCGAACTTGTAGCCGCCCCTGTCCTTTCCCACACACGTGCACACTCGAACACACACACACACACACTTACGCACACACTCTCTCTCCTCACACACACACACACATGCACCCTTTCTCGCATGCGCTCGCGCACAATCTCCATCTCACACAGTCACCTGATCTGGCAGGGACGTGATGCGCCGCAGGACACGCTCCGCCTCAAACGCCTTCATAATCTCCTCCTCCTCAAACGCACTGATGCCCCTGCGCAAATTGGAATTCAAACGGCGGCGGCAGACAGACAAGGTCGGCGGAGATCACTTATTTTGACGCGGGGTGGAGCAGTAACGGCGGCACATGGGAGCAAAGGCGGCAGGGCCTGTCCGCCTGGACCCAGTGAAAGTACAACGGTTTGGTTTGATGCCACAACTTGGACGGGCGATTCTGGTTCCAAGCTTAGGATCGCGCAAGGCAGCGCCCAGCCGTGCGCTCGCCTGTCGCCTCCGCCGCGCCGGCCGCCGCCCGCCGCCAGGTTGCTGTGGTGCTGCCAGAAGGACGCGGCGCCGGCGCCAAAGCCCAGCAGGCCCGCGCCGCGGCTGCTGCGGCCGAGGGCGGGGCCGGCGGCCGCGGCCTCCTTTTGGGCGGCGGTCTTGGCCGCGTGGACCTGCGGGCGTGTCGGGCGTCGAGGCGGCGAAACCGTTCGTCGCTTCCGGCGGTTCGGGTGGTTTCGGAGGCATGGCGTGACCCAGCCCATGCATCGCAGCGCCGACGACGGTTTGGTATTGTTGGGCGCGCGACGCGCCCGCGTCTCTGCTCGCGAGGCTTTGCTGGGGTGGCTGACGACACGTGGCGTGTCCGTGGATGCCAGTGCTGAGTTTGTGTTGAGCGCTGTTCGCAGGAGGTTGCACACCCAGTTGCGTGTTCATGCACGCATGCACACACGCGCTCACACAGGCACACACACACGCGGGCACATGCACACAAACACACACATACACACACGAACACATGCACATGAGGCATAGCCCAGACATGCACGCTAACACACACACAAAACACACACACACACATACAAACACCACACACACATCCTAAGCCCGCGCCCCACCTGCGCCATGTGTGCTTTTAGGTCAGCCACGCCCTGCGCGTACGCATCCGACAGCGCGCGCTGCTTAGCCACCCCCACCGCGCGCTTCAAGCTGCAGAACGCAAACACCTGTTGGGCATCCAGGCGTTCAGGGAAGCAAGCAGGGGTTTGGGTGGGTGCGCATGTGCTAAGCAAAACCGCGGCAAAGTTTCGGAGGCGGCATGGCCGTGGGAGAGAGCAGGGGCACTGTCACCATTCACAGACCCCCTTGCGCGCCCCCGGCGCGCCCCGAGCGCCGGCCCCTGCCCGCCCCGCCCCGCCCCGCGCGCTCACCGCGGGCCCGTTGCGCGCCAACGCGCGCTCTCCGGCCCCCCATGCCGGGCACTCCTGGGGGGACGCGAACATGGGCGCCGCCGCGAGCGGCGCGGCGCCCGCCTTGGCGCGCGGCAGCGCGGCGGGCAGGAGATGCTCTGGCAGCAGCGGTCTCAGCAGGTCCTCCTCGCCACCGCCGGCCCGGGCGCGGTTCTCCTCCAGTAGCCGCGCCCCGCGCGCCGCGTCCGCGGCGCTGATCGGGTGCGCGCGCAGGAACCGGGCGGCCTTGCCGCCCGGCGGCGGCATGCCCGGCGGCGCGGGTGCGGGCGTGGGCGCCGGCGCGGCGGGGGCC